GACCTTATTTAATGGTGGCTGTTTTGGCAGGGTTAGATTTCTTTGCAATACTGTTGTAGGCAACAGAAGTGGTTGGAAGAATGCCAGAAAATCGAATGAAAGTTTTATCTGATGTGGAAAAAAGTAAAAAAGAAAATCCTTCTTTTTTTTTTTTTTAAGTGGTACATTTTCATCTCAATTCAGCACAAGGGATGTTTCCATGCCAGCATCTCCCAGCTTCTGGCATTCCAGAGGTTGCTGGCTCCAGGTGTGCAGTGGCTGCAGAGGCTGCTCCAGCTCAGCCCCACGTTCCCATGCTCAGGCATGGGATCCTTTGTGGATCCCAGCCCATCATTCCCTTCCAGCCCCACTTCCAGACCCAGTGCTGGGTCCTTCCATACCTCTCTGCTGCATGAACAATTTGCTTGATCTGCAGAGAAGACAATATTCCCAGCAGGACATTTTTTCCCAGTGAGTCACTCTGTCTGCCCTAAATTTAACCTTCTGTATACTGTGGATTTTTTCTTAAAATTTCTTTACAAAATATAATAGCCTGGCTAAAGCATTTATGAAGTATTTTCCAGTCACTTAGTGGCCAAGCCCTCTGACTAGTTTGTATTTCAGCCCAGAATACCTTTGATAATCTTTGCCAGTATCCAGTGTTGGTGGTCTTAAAATTCTACAACTGAGTGGAAAACTGTTAAGTGCTCAGGCTTCAGAGCATGCCTAATTAATTCTTTCCAGGGTTTTAGTCCTTTAAAAGTGTTAAAAACACAGATTCAGTGTATCATTGAATATTGCATGGTTCTGTGGAAATAAATTGCATCAGTTTGATTCCTTTAGGAGTTCAGAGAGTTTTTGCTCTGTGCCTACTCTGGAAGTTTACAGGAGTCTGTGGAAGGTTCAGCCTAAAATGGGCAAAAGTTGTTAATGAGAGGGAATAGCTCGATGGCAAAGCAAGAGCCCAAAAACCACATCAGAAAACTCTTTGCAAAGACATCAGTCAGCTGCATTTGAAAATCAGGCAAAATCTCCCAACTCCAAAAGCATTTCCTCATGTGAACTTTAGTATTTTTATTTTGAGCAGAAAACCACAACTTGTGTTTATTTTATTTCATGACTGCTTAAGGAGATTATAATGACTTAATCCTGGAAAGGGCTGGCAGCGCTTGAGAAGCAGGTGAGGCAAATCTGAGCTTTTTTCTCTACTGACATCAAGTCCTGGAGGGGATTCAGCCTCAGAAGAACCATTAAGGATCTTTCAACATCCAGGCTTATGTGCTTCTTCCAAGAGACGTGGAGACGGGAGAGATGAAAAAGGAGCATGTGATGGAGATGAACTGGAGATTATAATTTCAATGCAGAATTAAAGGGGCAAATGTCAACATGGGTATCTATTGCTCTCCCTTCCAGCACAGCTCAGGCTGGGGGGTTGCTCTTTGTGACGCCACTGGGGACACTGGTGGCTGTTCCAAGGTAAAGCTGGCACTGCTGGGGTGCTCTTGTCGTGGTCTGGTTGGCTTTGCTGTCCTTGGTGTCTTCTTGCTCAGAGGTTTGGGAAGAAAAGAGTAAAAGAAGAGACTAGAGAGATTCACTCATCTACCTAAGGAAACCATGGGACACCTTTTGGAGCAGGGCAGGTCATAGAACCATGGAACCATTTAGTTTGGAAAAGCTCTTTAAAACCACAGAGCCCAACCATTCTCTCTGCACTGCCAGCACCACCATGGCCTGGTTTTCCAAGTGCTACATTCACAGAGCTTTTAAATCCCTCCAGGGATGGGGACTCCCCCCACTGCCCTGAACAGCCTATTCCAGGATTTCACCACCCAGGATCATCAGGCCAAGCTCCAATGAGGAAAGGTCTGCAGATCTCCAAAGGGACTCAGTGACATCTCCAAAGGCAGCCCTGGAAACTCATCTCTTTATCAAATTCCAAGAAATCCTCTGCTTTCCGCATGAGAGACTGAAAATATGTTGATCTATCTACATAAAATGTAAATTTTTCTGTGAGCATGGATCAAACTACAGGAAATAACAACACAGACTGTGCTGATGGAGTCTTTGATCAATTCAAAGGTAAAACACCCAATTCTGTGAAAAATCTGAGCTGACTTGCCCCAGCTCCTTGCTAGAATATGTATGTTTTGAAGAGTCACAATTTTGGTTTAAAAGCTTAAGGGAAAACAAACCAAAAAAAATCCTCAAGGTCAATTAGGAATTAATAAAATGCTCAGCATACAAGTTTCCTTTTCAACTACTGAAGTCCTGGAGCTGCCTGTGGTGGCACTCTCATGTGACCTCTGGATAAGAGGATGCTGAAGGCAGGTCCCTGCTGGCACCAGGACAGGCAAGGGGGGAAAGGAAGGGCTGTTTTCCTTGGGAGTTAAATTGTGTTTGTGTCTGCCTTTGCATGAAATGTGGTGCTGGGTGGTTAATTCACCCCCCTGGCTTTGGTGTGGCATTCCCAAAATCCCAGCACAAACATCATCATTCCCACTTTCAGCAGGCAGTGGGAGAGACCACACAGTCTCATTGCCCAGGAATTTTTTGAATCCTGAAGGTGATGAGGACCTGCTTGGGGCTGTGACAAGGAGTCACAGAATCATCCTGCAGTCACAGGATGGTTTGGGTTGAAAGGGACTTAAAGATGATCCAGTTCCAAACCCTGCCCTGGTCAAGGACATCTCCCACTGGACCAGTTGCTGCAATCCCTGTCCAACCTGTCTTTGAAAAGAAGCACCTGTCAGCAGTGGGATTTCAGTGCGTGGAGAGACATTTCAACCTTGGGAACTCAATTCCTGTTCCACAGCCTCAGAATTTGGAGGGTATTTGACTGGGCACAAGGCATCCTGTGGAGAGCCAAGTCTGGGAACCAGCAATGTTCTGCCTCAGCCACACAGAGTTTTGCTGCCAGTGGGACCCAGAATTCCAGAGGACACTTCCAAATGGCAAACAGCACTAACTCGGGATGTGCAGTAGCACAAAAACAGCAGCGCCAAATACAGCTGGCTCAAAACACACCCAGAAGTGTGGAAGTGTGCGTTAATCCCTTTTTTAAAACAAAAATACACAAGTACCCACTTTGCATTTTAATTTTATGTAATTGCAGTGTGAGCTACAAAAAAAATTCCTCACTCCTGGTGTGCAAATCCTTGTCTTCACCCAGCTCCTCTGAGCGTTGCCAAAGCTCCTGTCAGTCGTGTCCAGCTTTGAGGAGGAGATCACAAGAAGAGGTGGCAACCAGTTGTCATTGTCACTGCAGACAGGTTTAGCCAGGTGGTTAAATGGCTGATTGGAATTGCACTAATTGATTATTTAGGTGATAGATAAGTTGTGTTTTGTATTTAATCAGCCATTTTATGTTCACTACAAAGAGCAGCAGTGATGCACCAGTGACTGGGAGATGGGTGTGTTTTTGCTGTACAAAACGATGGGAAAAGAGTGAATATGCTGGGATGAGGTGGGAAGGGGTAATTTGTGTAGGAATGGGATGAGTGGAGGTTTAGGGAGGGTTGATCACAAGAACCTACACAGAAATCCCTTGCAGATCTGGCAGTGTTTCCAGTGGAATGGCAGGGCAATGGGATGGACAGGGTGTGTTTATTCCTGCAGAATCCCAGCTCTGTGGCTGAGTTTTGACCCTGCATGATGGTAAGTCTACACCCTGCCCCAGCTCTCCTTTCTCTCTATGTCAGTGAAGGGATTGCTCTGCATCCTGCATCCTGTGGAATTCCTCACATGGTCAGGTTAAACCAGGAGCAACTCTGCCCCTGGGACAGTGAGGGAGAGAGGTCTGATGTGTTATTTAACAGCTACCCCTGCAACAATTAAAAAAACAATGCAGAGGATAAAATAAATTATTATAATTTAAATTCTCTTGTGCTTATAGAAGCACAACAGAAGATTGAGAACATTCATCACTCTCTATGCCTTAATAAGAAGTGTAGTCAAAATTTTTCCCAGCCCTTTCCAGGTTCCCCAACCAGTGTTCAGTTGCTTTGAGATACCCATATGTTCACAGGTAACTTTAAATATTACATTGATTTGGAAATTAATTTGGCAACACAAATTCCCATAGGATAGGGAAGTCAAGACCATCACCTCCCCTGTTTAGAGCAGGTCATGACTAAGGCTAAGGTTAGACATTCAGAACTTGATTTTTGACTGTAATTTAAATTTCTTCTCCCATCCTCCTGGCATGCCACAGGAATATAGTTATTGCCCTACAGAAATTATAATTTTCCTAGTCTGGCATCCCATTCCTGGCAGTGATCTACTGCAGATGCTCCAGCAGAAGCCAAAAACATTAGGAAGAAAATGGCAGTGAAATTCCATGCAGGAATGTCCTTGCTCCCAGGAGACACTTCTCCCACAGCAGGCTGGGTGAGTGGGAGGGGTATGGATCCATATAATTCACTTTTCCATGGTAGGAGGGAGAACATCATTTAGAGCTTCAGGACATCCCCGGTGTGTCCGTGTGTGCACCTGGTTGGATGCTCCTTGTCCAGCTCCATGTGGACCTGCCTGGGTGGTTGCAACCCTGCCATGAGCACTGGGGTATTTAAGATCTCCTGTTTTTTTAAATATTTTTCTTGCATCCCTGGGGTTACTTTCTGTAAAAACCACATCAGTTTTGCTCAGAGGAAGGAGGAGACGCAAATTCCAGCAGTGCCATTTGTGGGGACACAGTGGGAGGTGTCACCACAATGGCTGAGGACACCACGGGCTCCGCGGCGTGGGGAAGACCTTTGAGTCCACCTCTGCTCGTGTGTGCAGGGAGGGATGGGAATAACTCCCTGGTGTCCCGGGAATTCTGCACTCGTGACCCAGAGCTGTGTCCTGAGGGCTCCTGGCTCCACTCTTCTGGCAGCAGCAGCCATGTGTCCCCTTGGATGGCTCCCTGCTGTTGTCATGATCCTTAATGCCGCAGCTGCTCGCTTACACCAGGTCATCTGCTTTTATTAGTCCTGCCCCACCACCCACTGAAACTCACACCAGCCAGGAGATCATTATCCACATCCAAAAATAGCATTTCTCTGGCCCCGCTCTCGCAGAGACCTGGGGAACTCGGGGGTTTTCCTCCTTTTCTGATTTCCACTTGGGCTGGTTTCCCCCCTGCTGCCCCATGAAGGCTGGAGCAGCCGCCCTGGCAGCCGGGATCCTCGGGGGCACCGGCGTGCTGCTCTTCCTCATCGCCTTTGGGACGGATTATTGGCTCCTGGCCACGGACACCTGCGGGGTCTTCGAGCATGGCAACAGCACTCTGAGCACCGGGGGGGTGAGCTCTGAAATCCTGTGCTTTGAAAGAACTTAAACTAAATCATTTCAGATCTAAAGTTTTGAAATCTGTGATAATATTTATGCTCAATGAGAGTGACCTGTTAATGTAAAACGTCAGCCTGAGGTAAAACTTTAAATTCTTTAAAATCCAACACGGCTTTTCCATAATATTGAGCATTTTGACTGGAGTAAATCGTGTCTAGGAAGCATTAAGACAGCACCTCTGTAATCTGGCAGATATGAACATTAGAGAATGAAAGGCAAAAATGTAAGAGCTTTAGCTGTTGACAGCATTTCCCTCTAAAGACAAAAGATATCTCCTGATATTTGCCATTAAAAGATTTCTCCCTCTGTAGTTTCTTCATTTAAAACTAGTTCACGTTTAAAAGTGTGGGCCTTGGCAATCACTTCCATCTGAAGTGGTACAGCTGCAGCACAGACACCAAACTAAAGTGAACATCAGACACAGAGCAGAGCAGAAGGGTTCCTGCCCATCTGACCAGTGGCCTGGATATCCTCAGAGTAAGGTTTATATAGGATTTTAGTTAGCAGGAAATGTAATTTTCAAGGGACAGCTTGATATTTTACTCCTAAGGGCTGGTGTCACTCGTTTATAGATCCCTCAATTTGGATTCTTGCTACACTTGCTGTTGTCTAACTCTTCAATGAAATAACAACCAGATCAGTTCCTCGAGCCACCCACTCCCCCAAAATGTTTTTGTGCCAATCAATGTGTGGTTTCCATTACAAAATGACAGGAAGATCCTTGTTGTGTGCAGACTTTTTGTTACTTCAAAGTTCAATCCAATTAGGTTTGATTTTTTTTCCTGGTGCAGTGAGTCACCCTGGGTAGGCATCATGATGCCAGCAAAAAATATTTTTTCTTTCATTTCAGAATCCCATAATCAAATGTAGGGCACTGTTTGCTTGAGTCATGGTTCCAAATGACTTTCCTAACTGTAAAAAAAAAAATTATAATGGAAAAAATGCCTGGAGAAGTGAAACAGAAAACAGGGTCTTTAGTTTCAAGCAGCTCAGTAAAGCCTGGGGATGGCAGAGACAGGGAAGTGCCACTTGTTTTTCTTGCACTTGGGAAGTGACAGTGTTAATTGTTTCACATTTTAGTTGTTTTTAAAAGCAGAGAGAGCAGAGGTGATGCGCTGCATGACACAAATAAGCATCTCAAACATTTCAGAGACGCTCTTGGCCAAGACTGGGGAGCCTGATGCTGAGGCAGTGACTTCAAAAGCACCAGGCAGAAATAGGAACTGCTCTTACTCTTCCCTCTGAGCTATTTTATTTCTATTTCAGACACTGTTTCTATTATTTCTATTTCTGTTACTGGTTGTGGATAACAGGCTCTGTTTTTACCTTCTCTGCCCTTTCTTAAACTGTCAAATCCTGTTCCTTACAGATAAGGATGGGCTGAGTATCTGGCAAGCTCAGTGAAATGTGCTTTGGATGCACCAAGTCAGAGCCACCAGCTGAGGAAGTTTCAGGGCTGAATGTTCCCCTTGTCGTAGTCAGGGAAAGTAAAAGGAGAATCAGGTCAGAACTCTGGAAGCTGCTATAAGGTGATGCATAAAATCGAGGCCAGGGAAGCAGAAGAGCTCTGGGGAGAGCCCAGAGCCCCTTCCAGTGCCTAAAGGGGCTCCCAGAGAGCTGGAGGGGACAAGGGACAGGACAAGGGGCAATGGCTTCCCACTGCCAGAGAAATATTGGGGAGAAATTCTTCCCTGTGAGGCCCTGGCACAGGTGCCCAGAGCAGCTGTGGCTGCCCCAGGATCCCAGGAGGTGTCCATGGCCAGGTTGGACAGGGCTTGGAGCAGCCTGGGACAGTGGAAGGTGTCCTTGCCCATGGCAGGGGTGGCACTGGATGGGCTTTAAGATTCCTTCCACCCAAACCAATTAACCTGTGACAGGATAAGTACCTCTGGCACCTCCCTGTTGGGTCCCATCTCCTTTCTCTGGTTCACAGAGGCCATTCCTCCATGGATATTCCCTATCCATCATAAAACTTATTTTTGTCACAGTCCTGTCTCCTTTACCAAACTGTGTGTGGGGAAGATAAAGCTGGTTTTGAGGATAATTTTAATAAGTTCTTTGGTAAATCTTCCATGACTGGACTTTGCAGTATTGTGCCTTCAGGAAAGACCAAAATCTTGTGCTTGCAGGTCTGGTCTGGGGGTTGGAGGAAGGTGTTTGAGGAGTAGAACACACCCAGAAGGCCCAGCTCCATGAAATTCTCATCCAGCTCTGGCCAGCAGGGGTTTAAAAACAGGAGAAAAGGAGGCAAATCGTTTGTGCAGCTCTGCAGGACAATTTGTTGTCAGAACATTTCGTAGCTGTGTTACAGCAGAAAGTCAAGGACAGCAGCTCCTCCGTGTTCCCCAATCCCTCCAAAACTGACTCAAAAAAACAAATGAAAACCCCATAAAAAATTAAATCAACATTTGTCTAACTGAAGCATCCACTCTTTGTACTATGATGTTCCCTGTTTCAGCCTGAACTTTCATTCCTCCCCAGGCTGAAGCCCCAACAGATGTTGGGAAGGAGATCCTGACTTTCCACCACGAGGGTTTCTTCTGGCGGTGCTGGTTCTTTGGCGAGGGCCAGCCCGAGAGCATCTGGACCTTCTGGTACAGTGAGTACAATGCCACCACTCCCTATCCTCAGCATTCCATCACAGCTTAATGGGAAACAAACGCAGGAAGTGCTTCCAGGGATGGGGTGACAGTTTTTATTTCATTTTTGTCATTCTCATCTTCTGTCAAAGGCAAAGCTGGCTCACTCTTTTTGTGTCCTTTCTGTGCTCATTTTTTGACTTGGATTTTGCTCTCAGAGAGCTGTTCACCGAAATGTTGCAACCTCATGAGGCCATTTAATTTACCACCTACAAAGTTATGTGAAGTGGTGGCTTCCACCAGCAAGGAGAACTCTTCTTTCCTCCCTCTCAATACCTCTTGATGCTTGTGTTCAGCAAAGTTCTGTAGATGTGAGCCCATGCCCTTCCCAGCATCGCTCTTCTGTCCCTGTTTTCTGCCTTCCAGGTGCTCAGCATTCCCAGCTCCCACCGGTTTCAGCACTGGGAAGGCTGGACCTGCACGTTCGTGGTGTCTCTGAGTGCTCAGGATCAGTGGTGGAAAACCATTTTATTTTAAGTTCACACCTTTTTTACTTTTTAAGATCATTGACATTACACTTGAGAATGAACAGAGAGGGATGCTAAATCCTTTATTTTTTGGAAAACACATTCACTCTTTAAAAACAAATTGAAGAAAAGGATAAAACCTGTTCTGTGACCCTGGCTGGTGCCACCCTGGTGCCCTCGTGCAGTGAAGGGCTGGCCCAGTGAACCAGGTGCTCCCACCAGGAATAGGAAAGGAATGAGACCACACCAGGACACACCTGGCACCAGCCTTGCTGGGAGCCACAACTCTACAGTAGGATTTGGGATAACCCACCCCATATTTTAAATAAGTTCTGCAAAGGCTTTAAGCGCCACAAAAACCTTGGCCCTGTGCCCACCGAGGCCTCGATGGAAGATGTTCCTGTGGTTGTGGAGCAGCACAATCACCTCAGAGGGCACTTCCCTGCAAATAGTGCAGGTTCCCACACTAAATTTACTCTGCAGTGATTAAAATTTCAAATGACTTCGCTGTCCCCCAGCCCCTGACCTGTTTCCTGTAAAATCTTGCAGGAATACTTCCCGCCACCACTCAACAATGGGAGGTTTTTCACACAGGAAATTTGTGATAAAAAAGGACAGGCTTGAGACAGGGAGTTTGCTACTGAATTACATTATATGGAAATACATAACATAATTTTACCTGAAGTAAAATGAGTCACTCTGATAACTGGCAAATTTTTTGCTACTTCTTTAGGTATTTATTATAATAGGATTGATCATGGCAAATTAATTTGCTGCTCTTGTGGATGTAATAATTAATTCAATAGGTATTCCATAGTCAATTTAGCATGAACTAATGTCCACCTATTATAAAGTGCTCCTTTGAGCTGAGGAACATATTTAAATAAGTGGCCAACCATTAATTAATTCATTTAACATTCATTCTATTACTGTTAATCATGATAAGCCTCAGAGGTATTAATATTGATGGGGCACTTCCATTCTAATTGTGCTTTTCCTTCTCACCAGCTGGAGGTCTTGGAAGTGCCTTGTTCTGGTACCCAAATATTTTGACCCTTCCAGGTGGTCAGGCACGTTGTCTGGAGGAAAACAGCAACAAGAATATTGACACTGACTTCAGTTGTTTCATCTTTCATGAATTTTGTCCACCTCAGAGTCAGGTTATGAAGATGAGAAGATGTGTAAGAAGCGGTCTCAGATCATCTGATATCTCTCCTCTTTCATAATTATTATTTCTATTTTTATTTTTCTCTTTAACCAAGATTTATTACCTTTTTTCCCTCCCCAGCCTTCTGATTTCACTGAGGGTTTTGCGGGTTTTGCTCAACAGCACATCACCATCTCAGTACTGTAACCGATTCTGCTGGAAATAAAAGCAAACTGGGATTTAATTATTCTTTTTCTTTGTATTTTCCAGCCAGCCAAGCACACCCCAAGTTCTGCATGCATGGCTACCTCTTCCCCATGCCCATTGCTGTGGGACCTTTCCCCCATCCCTCCTATGACACAACTGCAGGTGAGTTCCTTTCCTTCTCCCCCAGCAGCTCCTTTTCCAAGGGATCAGGCAGAGATCTGGGATGTGTGTCTGGTGTGCTGGGATGGGCTGAGCTCCCTCCCACGGGTCCCAGCTCCTGCTCCTGGCAGCAAGGCAGGAGGATAAATCCATTCTCTCCCATCTCCTCTCTCTTTGGGAGGAGCTGGAGCCACCCAAATCCAGCCTGAGTGCTGGCTCCATCCCAGAATTGGTTTCCTGGGATAGCTCAGGTGTTGATAAACAAGCACTGGAAAATTGGTTAAAGACCAAATTGTTAGAAAATCCACATAAGTGACTGGCTTATTTTTAAAGCAATAACACTACCCAGTTGGAGAGCTTCCTTTCAACCGGGTCCCTTTTTATTTATGTTTCTCTATATTTTCCAAGTTCTTTAATGAATCAGTTGCTGTTAGGAATTTTAATTTGCTAAATTGGTGGCAGCAGTTAGAATTAATTCAATGATCTTTTTTTGAAATGAATTGATTTCTTTAAATAGTGTGCATCAGTCTGCCTTGCCTCCGGGGATGCAGGGCAGACATTCTGCACAAACAAACATCTTGACCTTTTCCTTAGCCTTTAGTGGTACCTTTTTTTAGTTTTATTTTCTTTTTTTTTCCATGAGAAATTAATTAAAAAAAATATTGTCAGTAGGAGCATGCGAGGAAGGGCAGCTCATTTCTTTGGCTGTGTAGAATTCCTGCCCCGGGGAACGCTCCGTGGTGTCGAATGGATCCGAGGGAGCTGTGCAGGGAGGAGGAGGAGGAGGAGGATGTGCAGCAAACACGCGGGATGAGCAGTGGGATTGCCCCTGCTTGGGACAGACGTGCACGGCGTCCCGGCTCGGAATGATGCTGATAAACACACTCTCACTATTTTTTCCATCCTGATAAAGGGCGCTGGAGCATCTGTCGCTGCCTGTCAGCCCCGGCTGTGAAGCCCTCCCAGCCCCGGGACCATCTCGGTGTCCCAGAGCTCTTTTCCCACCCCTGTGGTTCTGGAAATGTGCCGGGATGCATCCCGGGCTCTGCCTGTCCCCGTCACCTCCGGGGACCTCCGCATTTTGGGCAGGGGAGCCCGGGCTCCTCCGCTGCCCCAATCCTCTGCACATCCCTCGGGGGAGCAGCCACTTCTGCCGCTGACACCTCTTCTTGCTAAGCAGCCCGTCCTCATTTGCAAAGGCTGACAAAGCAGGAGGCTGTCCAAGGAGAGGGGTCCTCCAGCTATTACCTGCTCCAGAGATAATTCTGCCTTATCTGCATCCTCTTAGGCTCCCTGAGAGAAACGGGTGACGGGAGGTTAAACATGAAAATGAATTCTGTGGTTTTGGAGAGTTCAAGATACTTATCTCTCCCTAAGTGGCTCTCCTGACAAAATGGTTTCAAATGAGGAAAACGCATCTTCTCTGTATCATTTTTCTTTCAAGTGTGAATCATTTCAGCACTACCCACTTGCTCGTGCTTGGCTTAAATCGAGCTGGAGCTTCTGGAAAACACCTGGCAGGGCGAGATGTGGTGGTCCAGGGGATCAGATAAATCAGGGGATGGGAGCAGGGTGTCAGAGGGTCTCTGCTGGAGGACCCCTGATACCTTTGGATAAGGTTTATGGCAGTGTCTGCAAGACACTTGGCTACTGGGAGACTTGAATTAGTGGGCTACATCCCATCCAGTTCCATCTGGTGGGATGTGATGGATCAAGCTTGCTCAGCTCTGCCTGGGGTGGCTGTATGAAGTCACAGCCAAACCCCAAATTCCTTGGATGGACAGGCAGCTGCTCTCCTGCCCCCTTCTCTTCCCAGAGTCTAACAAGGCCATTAATGGGGGAACTCATGAGCTCCTGTTTTCCCTGCAGTCCTGCTAGCAAACACTGCTTTTATTTTAAACCAGGAGCCTGGCACCTTCCAAAGTGTTAATTAAAGTGGAACAAAGCTGTGGTCTGAATCCACCTCTCCAAATTTTGCTATTTTCTTTCCTTTCTTGCCAAGCTTTTCCAACCCTCCCCAGCACAGCTAAGAGCGGTGTCCTTTCCTCCCACCCCTTTTTTTTTTTTTTGTGTGCTTCTCTGGCAAACCTTCCCAGCCCTTTGGCCTCATTCCAGTGCCATTCTGTAGGGCATGACTTTCCCCCTGAGCCCGTGGCTGTTCCAGGTGTCCTGGCAAAGCCGGAGCCTCAGCTCTGCCTGACCCAGCAGCGTCACAGGTTGTTGTTTTTACTGTTGCTAAAGCAGGAGTTAACATGGCATCATTAAGAAAGAGATTTCTGAGGTTGAAATTTCCCTCTTTCCCTCTCCTTTCACTGACTTTGCTCCTGTTGCAGTGTACAGAGGATTTTGGACGGCGTTCATCCTGCTGGCCGTGGCCGCCGGGCTCGTGGGGGGGCTCCTGCTGGTGTGTGGGGTCCCCTTCTCCAGCCCCCACTCCTACAAAATTGGGGGAGGATTCCTGCTGCTCTCAGGTGAGGGGACAGGGCTGGGCCAGGGTGGCTTTGGAATGGGGGCAGGTGGGGATGAAGTGCTGCCGTGGGAGATGGGGCTCTGATGGGAGCAGCAAATTATTATTTCCTTCTTCCCCACTGGAATTAAACCCCTGGGAGCTCTGAGCCACCTGGTCCAGTGGAAGATGTCCCTGTCTGTGCCCTTTATGGTCCCCTTCCAACCCAAACCATTCTGTGATTCCGTCATTCTGTGCTCAGCCAGGCTTTAGCAAGATAGTACTTAGTCCTAGCAGGGCTGAGATTTTTGAAAATCACTTTGTTTTTACTACTCCTGTATGCAATCCTTTTATTTCAGTAAAGCCTGCAGGTGTGTTAAGTCTGGGCAGCATCAGCCCTGCTCGGTTCCCCAAAGTCAGGCTTTGCATTTGGGCTGCTCTTCTGCTGTTAGCTTTGATAGAGCTGGAAACCCACAGAGGGATGAAAGGCAAACCCCATGATCCAAAATGGGAGGGCTGGCTTAAGGAGACCTGAAAAGATGAAACGATGGCACTGCAGGAAAATGAATTAAAAATAGGCATTTATTCATTTTTCTCACCGCTGTTACCAATGATTCCACTGAATTATCACTTGGGCTTTTTCCTTTTCTGCATTTGAGAGGAATAACTGGCTTCAATATTAGAAATACTTGATTTATACCAGTGAGTCAAACTCAGAAAAAAGCTCTTTTATGACTCAAGCAGCCACAGGCTGGAGCTCAGTTGAGCTGCGCCAAGTGAAGAACTTCGTAATGAAATCAGGTCTTTCTCTGAAAAACCCCTGCTTAACTGCAGATCCTTCACCAGCTCCTGCTGCCTTGTAATAAACATCAGTGAAAATATTTAACAAGAAAGGTTATGATATTGACCCAACTGCCACATTTACACAACTTTTAAATTCCTCCAAGGATGGTCATTCTACCCCTGCCCTGGGCAGCCTGTGACAGAGATGGACAAGGCTTTCCATGAAGAAATTCCTGCTTGTCTCCACCCTGAGCCTCCCCTGACCCAGCCTGAGGCCGTTCCCCCTCCTGTCCCTGTTCCTAGGAGCAGAGCCTGACCCCCCTGGCTGTCCCCTCCTGGCAGGAGCTGTGCAGAGCCACAAGGTCCCCCCTGAGCCTCCTTTGCTCCAGTCTGATCCCTTTACAGCTCCCTCAGCCCCTCCTGGGGCTCCAGCCCCTTCCCAGCTCCGTTCCCTTCCCTGGACTCACTCCAGCCCCTCAATGTCCCTCTGGTCATGAGGGTCCCCGAGCTGCCCCCAGCACTGGAGGTGCCCCAGCGGTGCCAGCACAGGGGACAGCACTGCCCTGATCCCCTGGACACCATTCCTGACCCGAGCCAGGTGCCATTGGCCTCTTGCCCACCTGGGAACCCCTGGGCTCGTGTCCAGCTGCTGGCACCAGCACCCCCTGAGCCTTTTCCACAAACAGATTCCCAAGCCTGTAGTTTTCCATGGGGTTGTTGTGATCCCGTATTGGACAGTAATCCAAGGGCAGAAACCTTTCCCTTCCCATCTGTAGTCCAGGCTCCCAGGAGGCAGCAGCTGTCCCTGAGGAGTGTGTCCAGCCTGCACATTGGGCAGAAATATCACAGAGAAGGATGCCGAGTAATACTCAACTGTCTTCCTTTTCTTTTTCTTTTTTTCCTTTTCTTCATTGTTTTTCCGCTTTATTTGACTAGTCCTTGATTAAAAGGCTGGGGCTTCGAATGTGACACTTTTTGGAAGAGCTGATTATGCATCACATAAACCTCTTGGCATTAGACAAAGATGCTGCTGTTAAAATTGAAGTTTGTATTAATGCAGCTTCAATCTGAACAGCAATCATTATTATTAACAGTCATTCGGGGGAGCAAGTTCAGCTGGAAGACACTTCCTGCTATATTTTCCACTCAGATGATAGCAGAAGGATTCAATGTGTTTTTCAGCAAAGTTTCCTTAGTATTTCAACTGATCCTTTTATTTGGGGGGCTTATCCTGATCTCAGACCTCTGGATCCTGCTTGGCCCTGGCTTCTGGATGGATTTGGGTTGCATCCTTCCATGGTTATTTTCTTGTTATCCCTTCTAAAAATATTTTGCATAATTGCACTAAGCAGTAGGAACAATGGATTTAACACAGGCTCGAGTCCCCAGCCATCCCTTTCCTTTGGAAAGTGCAGGGAGGATGCAGGAGAAAGCGCCTCTTGTCTTCTAATCGTGGCCTGCAGGTCAGTGTTAATTAACCTCCCTTGCAGAAAGGATCTCCCGGAAAGCGGGATGTGCAGGGAGGATGCAGGAGAAAGCGCCTCTTGTCTTCTAATCGTGGCCTGCAGGTCAGTGTTAATTAACCTCCCTTGCAGAAAGGATCTCCTTGAGGAAGTGTGAAAAAGCTGGCAATCTGCAGAGTGGGAATGTGGTCTGGCAGCAGGAATGGGAGATGGAGCACCAGGACTGCGGGATGTCCCAGCCTCACAGGGAACCCTTCACCAGCAGCTTTGTTCTGCCCACCACCTCCCTACTTTTGGGAGAAGTTGTGGTTATTCACTGCAAAATGACATCACTTTTTCCACCAAAAGGCTTCAAAGACAGCCCTGGTGCAAATGCATTCCCAGACATTTGTGGATGACCAGCCTGAGCAGGGTTGTGTGTCCATCTGTCGCTGGGGGAATCCAGGGCCGAAGGGTGAGGATTGTTCTGGCTCAACTGGATCCCTTTGGATTTCCCCCTGAGATGCCTTTTATTTACTGTACATTGCAGAGGGCAAATCTGACTGTGCCAGCTCCAATAACCGATGGACTGCTCTGGGAGGTGTTTCTGAGAGCCTTTCCAAAGCAGTGGAGTCATTTCTCTGGATTTCCTCCACTGGGTGACTCTGGAAAGAGCCAAAGCCAATCTGACATTTGCTGGTGCTGCCTTTGCAGCTGAGGCCATTTTCTGAGCAGTTTTCCCTGCCAGCCTTCTCCCAAAAACACCTGGAATACATGAGGCAAGAGCCAGTGTGCTGCTTTCCTCCCAGCATTTGCCATCTTGGAATGAGCTTCAGTGCTTCCAAAGGGTGGCAGATCCTTCCTGGTGCTGGATTGTCCCTTTGTTTCAGTAATCAGAGGTTGGTTAATTGTCACTAGAATGTCACCAAGAGGGCTGGGTGAGCTCTGTGCTGCAGCTTCTGGAAGCTCTTTGAGTTGCTGAGACAACTTTGCTTCATTTTGGTCCTTCCTTTTTTCCTACCTTGTGCCCCACGGTTTTCTTTTCCTTTGGGCATTTTAGAGAACAAACATAGTAGTGCAGCACTGGCACAGGTTGCCCAAAGAGGCTGTGAATGCCCCATCCCTGGAAGTGTTCCAGGCCAGGTTGGATGGGGTTTGGAGTACCCTGGGATGGTGGGACCATCCTGTTCTTCAGCATGACCCAACAGCATGGGAAAAAAGGCAGATTTCCCAGGCCTGTGAGTTAAAGTGCTGGATTTTTTGCTCAGATCCTGCTTCCCAAATGGAGCAGCTCCACTTTGGCAGTCTCAGGCTCCCCACGTGCAGTGAAGGCTGACAGTTATGGAGGGGCAGCTGAAGGTCACCCCTCCATTTCGCTGTTATTAACATCCTTAAGAGGCAACGAGCGAGAGAGGAGAATGAGTCAAAGTTCATTATTCTCCTAATTAGCAGATTACACAAAAATTCAGTAGCTTCCCCAGAATAAGAGTTAAAGATTGAGTTCACTCACCTGTCCCCACAATTAGCAGCTATAAAGGTGTCACAAGGAAATAAAGTGAGAGAAAGGAAAAGCTCCACTTCAATTTGCCCACATGGAAGATGTAGCTCCGTTGGGAGAGGGGGATGGAGCTCCAGGCTCCCAGATCTGCAGTGCACAAAGGATACAGATTTAATACCCCACTGCAATTTTCTGGCAATTAGCCCCTCCCCAGAAGTTGCCGTTGACCTCATCAGTCTGGAGATGGAGTTTCGCAGTTAATTTTTCCCAGTACCATCCTAATGAACAGAGGCAAAGAGGGAGAAGGAGGCAAGGAAGGGATCACTCAGGTAATTTTCCAGTGGAGAAAGCACAGGGATGCTGAGAGGAGCATGGGGATGAGGTTTGATGAGGACTTCACTTACCCAAACCCAATACACCCTGTGTCTTGGGTGTGGGTGCTGATGCACCACAATGCAGTGTTATATTTCAGACAGAAAATTGCATTTTTTCAGTTTTTCATTTTGCTGCCCAAAGCAGGAAGGAATCTATGTCTCTACATCCAAAGCTGTCAGGAAACAAAGATAATTTCTGTTGTGTTTCCCACACTAAAAGGCCCGGAAAGGAGGGAGCAAAGTGAAACCTGTTCAACAGATGAAAAATCCCCAAAAACCCAGCATGTTAAAACAAAAATGCCAAACACTTTGGTAATATAAGAGGGAAACATCCTGATTTTCTCATGATGAAGAGGCTGCTGATGGCTGTAAGTATGACAAATTTTAGGCAGGTTCAGGTACACTTGTGATTGCTCCAAACATGCATTTCCGGCTGAGCAGATTTCAGTGAGCTGCCCTTCCTGAGCTCCCACCATCCTTTGGCTGCACCTGCCCTCCTGATTTTCTCTTCCCACTGAGGACATTGTGTAAATCCCAGGGATTCTTCATCACTCAGCTGTAATTATTCCAGGGAAGAAGGCTGCTTGCTTTACATATTCTTGTCATTTGCCCAGAGTGTGAAAACATTCTTAATTTAGATGCCATGGCCATGCCATCACCTCCAGTACCTGTTTAATAATAAATCCTTCTGTGCCAAGACCTGGAGCTTCTCCTGAGGCCAGAGGGGGAACCAATCCCCATTCCTTATCTCCTGAAGAGGTTGGGGATGGTGCCACCCACACATGGGACTTCCCTCACCCTCCTCAGTAAGAACTGGAAGGTTTTGATCTGATTACTTCAAAAAACAAGACTTAGGCCATATAATTTGTCCTGGGAGAAATCAACACAGAATTCCTGGTTATTTAAAGCAAAATTCCAAAGTACATTTCCATACCCACGTTCTCTGTCCCACCGGGGCTGCGCTTTCATTTGCGTCTCTTACGGTAGGTATTATAAGTTAATGAAATAGAAATTGATCTTTAAAGGAGCACTTTTCAAGGTTCAGTTGCTATCTAATTAATTTAATTTTAAATTACATCAGTAATAAAGACTTAATTGCCTTCTTATCAATACATTGTATTCTGTAAAGGACATGCGACTATTTGAACACACCATCGCTTTCTTATAGTAGAATAATTGGTATTTTAAGCATACAACTATCATAGTAAGTGTAAAATATTTATTTGTGCACTTAATTTCAAGTGGTATCAAAACCTCAATGAACATGCAAATGTTCTAGCAGCTGCTGTTTAACTCCTTGCCTGCCTCTCCAGGAAAAACAAGGACTCCTCCACATCAGGGAGAATGGCTGGAATTTCAGTGTGGGGTGATGTAAATAATATTTGTATGGCTGCACCAATTTTTGATTGGTAAGATTGCATCTTTTTAGGGCATGGGAGGCAGTTTAGTAAATGTGACAGCTTAGGGTGGGGAACTGCCACTTCTATCTCCCTCCTAGTGAGGACTTTGAAGCCTCTTACCTTCATGTGAGTCTTATTTTTGTCTCTGAGATGTTTTTATAACCATTATAAACAGAATCACAGTAAAACACGGATGTGTTTTCTCTGACTGAAGATTCAGTAACCTCCCTAAGCTGATAAATCAACGTCAGTCTTTACCCCTTTCCTTTCCTTAGCTCAAAAGCTGGATTTTGGAGTATATAAGCTGCCAGGAAGAATAATTAAATACACCACAACTACCTTTGATTTAAAAATGGCAAGGGGAGAAATTAAATCTTGCAGAAGCCACAACACATCCACAGAACTGTGTGGTAACTTGTCAACTAAATTAATTTCGAGCAGTTCACTTCAACCATAAAAATAATATAAGCTGTGATGTATTTCTTTCATATATGTGTGTGTATATCTATATGTTATACAGCACCATTTAAAAATAGCAGCTTCTACCTGTGAAGTAGCAAGATCAGATATTTCTGAGCTGCTTTCAGACCTGTCATCACACCGTCACTATTTAGCTTTAATAGATGTTGAGTTTAAAATGCACCATAGAAATATATATATTTTTAAAGATACAGAGTAAATGAGATTTGGGCCACTCTAATTTTTTTCCTCTGCTTCCAGCTTCGTGGCATAAGCTGCTGGAATAATTCTTGTTATTATTCTGGTATTTAGTAGCCCATCTAAGATTAACATCTCATGGCTGTGTGCCTTTCCCACCCCATAATGTGCTGGCTCTGGGGGTGGCAGTGCCAGAATTTTTCCACCAGCACCAGGATTTGTCATGGCATCTTTGTGTTCCTGGTGGGGGTTGGCTATGACACTGCTTCCAAGGGTAGATACAAAAAAAGGAAGTAAGTTTTGGTGTCTCCTCAATCTCTGAGAAATTAAAAGTGAAAAAGGTGAAACATCCCACCTTGGAGAGAGGAAGGCAGGTCCCTGCTGGGAACATCAGCCCTGCTCGGGTGGTTTCTCCATGGCCTTATCCTGCTGAAGCAGAGCCTTCAGAAGTGCTGGTGGTCAAAGCAGGAGGTGTCAGAGGCAGGAACTGGTCACTGTGGTGTGACCTCAGCTTCCACAGGAACCTGCAGAGCAACGTCAGCAGCAACAATTCTGCCACACAAAGCTTTGGTGCAGAGCATGGATGAGAAGCTGTGGTGATCTTTTCTCACCTTTACTCCTGTATTCCCTGCTCATAACTCAGTTTTCTCTCTCTTCCCAGGAGGTTTGTTTCTCCTGCTCGTGTTTCTCTTTGTGATGTGGAAGGAGTTTGCAGCTGACTTTCAGAAGTACATCCTCCTGGAGAGGAGTGAGAGGTGCCTGGATGATGTCCCCGTGCACGTCTACTACGGGTGGTCCTTCATGTTTGCCGCCGCCGGGGTGCCCCTGGTGTTGCTCTCTGGACTCCTCTTCTTCCTGGTGGGCAGAGACATTGTGGATTCCCTGCAGTAAGACAAATGTGGAAAAGGCTTTGAGAAAATTGGTGATGCTCCTTGTAAAGAAACACACCCAAGTTTTGAGGGCTTGATGGTTTTTGTAGCTGTAATTGTGGGGATAGGATACACTCACTCTCATGGGGAGGCAGGGATGGAGCACTGAGCATCCACAGAATCCCAGGGTGGTTTGGGTTGGAAGGACCTTAAAATCCATCCTTTTCCGCCCCCTGCCATGGACAGGGAGACCTTCCTCTATCCCATGTTGCTCCAAACCCCACCCAACCTGGCCTTTGACACTTTCAGGCATGGGGTAGCCACAGCTTCTCTGGGTACCCTCTGCCAGAGTCTCACAGCCAGGAATTCCTTCCCAATTTCCCATCTCCCCCTCTCCTCTGGCAGTGGGAAGCCATTCCTTGTGTCCTGTCCCTCCATCCCTTGTCCCAAGTCCCTCTCCAGCTCTCCTGGAGCCCCTTGAGGTACTGGCAGGGGCTCTGAGCTCTCCCTGGAGCCTTCTCCAGGTGAGCACCCCCAGCTCTGCCAGCCTGGCTCCGACCACTGCCCATCCCAAACCAGCCCCAGCTGAACATCCAGCTCCAGCCTTTTTCCACTTTGGAGATATTTCACCACATTGGTGGGGTTTGCACCAGTTTTTCCCAGAGCCCTGGGGAAAGCAGTTCTCTGTCAGCAGAGCTCCACATCCATATTCAGCAGAGCTGGAGTTTTACAGCATTCCCAGCATCCTGGTTTCTTGTAAAAGGAAATCGAATCTGGCTGCAATGGTGCAAGCAATAATGTCTATTTCTAAAAAGCAATTAAGGATGATTTTTTTTTCTTAGCCAGCTCTAATTGACGTCAAAGGACAACCATTTTAATGGGATGTCGGGAAACATGAGAAACTTTTTTCTTCCTTAAAAGCCCTGATTCTGAAGATACAAATGTACCTGGACCTAACCTAACTTTCAATAAGGGAATAAACCAATTTCTGTGGCTTGAAACATAACATGAATTAATTAGTATTTCTTTGCAGCAATGCTTTGCTCTGCATTTAATATTTTCCCTGGATGCAGTTTTGTGGAGATTCCCAATCCAAAAACTGAAAGGTGATCCTGGTTGAGGGGAAAAAGAGGGAGGACAATAGTATGATAATGTGATAGCACCTTGGTTTGTGCCTGTACTTCATCAGTTCTTCAAGTGGCAATTTCTCACTATAAATTTGTTTTGAATAATTGTCCTTACCCTGAATTGCATATTTTCCCTGGACACAGTTTGGGGAAGTTTCTCAACCAAAAAACTGAATGATGGTGGGAGCTGGAGGAACGGGAGTGGGGACAATGACACTGCTATATTTTTTGGTTTTGTTTTGGTCAGCCCTATCAGGCAGCTCAGCTGGGACCTTGTTGTATTCTATGGACACCTCACAAGAGTCAGATCTAAAATGACAAATTATATGACATTTAAATACATTTAAATTCTTGCAGTCACTCAGGCTGATGTGGCAGTGACCCTGCAAAGAACAATCACCTCCTAGTTCTCCACCAAACTATCCGGCTGCTAGGGGTGAAATAATTTGTCCTGAATATGCAGAGGTTTGTAGAGACACTTGAGAAATGACAAAGATTTGATCTTGTCGTGTTTTTCGGGCTGGAGCACGGTGCTTTGAAGTAGTTTGTTGGGTCCTTGTTTGCTGAGCTCATTTGCATAAATTTTAAATCAAACTTCTCAAAACGCGCCCTTCTCGTGGATGTCAGAGTTTGTGCTCAGCTCACATCTCCCGAGCTTTATGTCACACTATTGACTCAGTGCAGTTAATTAATAATGGAATGTAAATCTCTGCTAGGAAGCGCTGAAGATTGTTGGCAGTGTAAAAATGTTTGTTAATGCTCTTCCTAAAATATTATTCAAGTCTGCCGTTTCTTTCCTTTCGGAGCAAGTTCTAATTATTCTTTTACAAGATTCATGGCATACACAGAGTGAGGAATTGTAATTCCCCCATGTAAAGATTAGTTCTTTCATATGAATAACAGGCTTGGGCTACAGTTCTTAAGCAATATCCACACTGTTTTCCCTTAATAGAAATTTTGTTTGAATAGAATTGGGATGTGCAGGTAAAAATCATGGGTTTTTTTCCCAGTGAATGGATGTTTCATGACATCCCCAAACACACAGAGATTTTAGTGTTTTATTTGGCCATTCTAAATTGTTTTTTTTTTCTCTTTGGGTTATGCCTAGTTCCCCATCAGTTCTTCAAGGGATAATTTCTCACAGTAAATTCCCTTTGAATATTTTTTGTCATTTAATTATCTATTCAATGTGGAGATGAGCACTTATGGTCACAAAGAATAAAAGTATACAATCCAGGAGCAGAAGAGGTCAAGATTTACAGTCACTTGCCTTTCACTGATCCCATAAAACAATCCAAGCATGCAGAAATGATGATCCCATAAGAGACACCAGGGCAGAAGAATGAGAATGCAGCATGAAATCCATCAGACTTATTGATATCTGTGAAGCTGAGGATCCCTGAAGTTGTGAATATAGAAGTGAGTTTTATATTATAGAATGAAATATTTATTAACTTTCTCCATCTGTTCTTTAAAAAATCTAGTTTAATGTCATCAAGGCATTTATGGAATACATTTAACTTAATCATGCATTCATGCCTTAGGGAGTAAAGCATCCCTGGAGACTTGCTCTTTCTGGATCAGCTCTAGAACAAGCAATAGTTTAAAATTCCATCATTCTTTGGAAATAAACCACATGACTTTGAATAATTCTTGAACAGAGGGTGTTTTATTTTAAATATCTGGTATTGAGCACATCCAATTGTTGTCTGGTATTGAGCTTTTGGGTAACCTCATCAAATCCCTGGATTTTCCACAGATTTGGAAAATCTCTCAATATTAGGTATATATCTAATAGTCACAACAATAAGAAAGAATGAGATGGTAGACTTGCATAATTAAAGCAATTAACTCTTTCATTAAAATCCCATGTTTATTGCCAACACAAGGCCAAATACATCATTTTGGTGGATTAAAGACTCCACTTCCTTTGCTCTCAAGTTTCTCATGGCTAGTAAAACTCAAGCAGACAAAATTTGCTGTGAGAGTCATCACTTCTGTAGGAGAAATTTTAAAAAAAGGAACTCATGGGCTTAGTGGTAGAGTTGGAAATTGCAGAAACCACGTTCGCTTTCATCTGTTGAATATGAAGTTTGATGAAAGGATATTATAGAGTAGTGACAAGGACCTAATTCTGATCCAAGTTTTGTCATTATAAATCATGAGTAATTCCGAAGGCTGCAGCAGACCCTTATCACTGCTAAACATCTGTAAGTCAGATCAGAACCGGGACTAATAAATACATTCAAAATGCATAATTAAAACAGTGATTTCACATCACTCTGATGAATTTTAGTCAAGGATTTCTTCAAGGATGCTTTTCTCACATTAGCATTTGATGTTAGTAAGCAATGAATAATTCCATTTTTTCTTTCCAACATCTGGGACACTTCCTGCTTTATTTGCTACTTACTGAGCACTCTGCAGGAAATATTAATGAATCCTGGGTGTTGAAACACGGGCCCTGTGGTTCGTGCTCAGGAGGCAGCCTTACGTAGGAGAGGTGTCTTGAGATTAAGAGCTTGATTTTGGTGAAAGATATTGGGAGATTTGCCAAACCTGAGGGAAATACAGGGATTTGGGGAGGTCACCCAAAAGTCCCTGTGGCAACTTCTTTCATGCCGTGGAGCTCTTCCCTGAGCTCTTCCCTCGTACCTAAGACACAATTAATAATAAAAGCCTTTCCCCTTGGTCAGATCAGCTCTTTTTGGTGTGATTCGGGAAGCCAGCACCCAAGGATGCCCCGAGGTTGGGAAGGAGCTGGTGCTGCTCCACCTCAGCCAAGGAGGGATGGCCCAGGGGACCATCACTGCCCTGCCAGCTGCTTCCTCACACCTCCAGTGGCCTGGAGGTCTTTATCTTCCTTGGGAGATCATGGAATTCTGTGTTTGGAGAGCTCTGCTGGGCCTTCAGAGCAGCCTGTGGAGGAAACCTGAGCTGAGCACCAGGTGAGCTTCCAAAGGAGGGATTAAATGTCCTTCTGTGTTAGTGGGAAGTGACTTTGACACTTTTTCACCAAGGGGGTGAAAACACCCTCTGCCGTGGAAAACAGGTAAACTGGAACTTTCCCAGCTTCATTCCACTTGGGTGTGCAACAGCCCCTCTCGAATTTATTACAAACCTTTCCACTTTTTCTTTTTTTGTCCAGAAAAATTCATCTTTGCTGTCCAGGTCATGTTTTGACCTTGGTCAGACACATTCCTTGGTGGCTCCTGTAACAAAATGTGAGCGTGCAGAACCACAATCCCCACTGCAGCTGCTCCCCTAAGGACCCCTTGTTCCCGCAGCGCCCCAAAACCCTCCGGAGAAGGGAAGTGCTGGGCATTCCATCCCTATGGAAGATGCCCACGGCCCCTTTCCTGCAGCAGCCCCATCCTGCTGGCTCAGCACCTCCTGAAGTGCCCCTTGTCCCTCAGGCAGTGCTGGGGGAGAGGCACAGATGTGGTGCAGCAAACGAAGGCGCAGACCAAATTAAAATAAATGTGGAGAGGGGAGCGGGCTCCACGCTCGGCGCGGGGCTGTGCGCTGGGGCAGGATCAAGCCGTATCAGGCAGAGCCCCCTCTACAAGAGTGCACAGCACCTCAATCCCAGAATCAATAAGCTGTACATGCTGCAGCACAAAGAGCTCTTATCTGCAGTACCACTTTGAATTTAGTGAATTTATTTAATCCCTGATGCCTGCAGAGCATCAGTCCTGTCTTCTGGGTTAATTTATTTATTCCGGTGATGTATTTTTAGTCTTTCAAGTCCTTGACATTTGAGAAGCAGTTTTCTTCCCCCCTCCTTGTTTCCTAAAAAACGTCTGAATTGGAAAAAAATTATTTACAGAAAAGTATTTTTTCCCCTAATTCATTCCCCACTTTTCCTTCTGGGAGCCAAGAGAAATACAATATCAATACTAATAACCATAAATGGAATGGATTGGGAAAGGCTCCTTTTCCCCCTGCCTGGCAGACCCTGCTTCT